ATGAACCATCTCCAACGTGATAAAAGCACAGGACAGACTCACCATTAGCAGAACACCCCTCTGTCACAGAAAGAACCCTCATATTCCACTGAGTCGTGTCCTTTAGGCCAACAGAAGCTGAACCGCATCAGTGCACAATAGCGAGCTGTTTTTTGAGCACTCGGTTTATGCAAATGAGTCATGTGGTTTCAAGTTTCATTTCTGTAAAACATAAACAAATATGCTCAAAGCTGTGTGGATAGGGAAGGCTTGTGGACACAGAAACGACGTGTCTGGACGCAAATTGTTTCCGATACGGTGATACAGTGATACGGTGATTCGTTTCAGTTTCAACGTAACCTAGACCTAGTTTATGTTCTGTTTCTCTAATTAGACTTTAATCACTCTTTTTTTCTCACAGTTTTTCAGTTGGTCACTCCAAGCTCGGACTGGTAATCTGTACTATTGGGAAAATGCCCGGCGAGTTGGTCCACCTCAGACCACATTTGGGCCGGTGCAGTGGTATCTGATTCAAGGGCGGACTGGCAATCTATCTGTGCGTTCTGGAAAAGTTCAGAACGGCCGTCTGATGTACTGGCCGTACTAACAGCAGAGGGTGGAAATACGATAATAATTAAACGCCCCACCTTCTCTCCCAGTCCTCAATATCCACTGTAGGCTGATTTGTGGGGGAAAGTCTGTGACAAAGTGGGCCTTTGTCCCATTTTAAACTTTCAATTTGTCTCATTTCACACATTTTGTTCTCAATATCCTACCAATACAGTTACAATATATCTTAGTTTTGTTTAATTATCTCATAACACATTGTTCATTTAAATATGTTTTATTAATTCATTTCACTTACATCATACATTCATCATACTTACCTGCAGCTCCACATGATGGTCCAGACAGAAAGAGGGGGCGTGCCTCATGTCGGCCATTTTTCAAACCTTGGTAGGACCATGTGGACATGAGAGACTTCTGTGCAGATGGATGTATGGTGTTGTTGCTTGTGATTTAGGTAACTTATTTTTGGTTTGTTTGAACAGTTTTGTACTTTATTTTACTCTACACCAGGAGTCTGTTGTAAATATATTTTTGTTATAGTGTGTCTCCTACTTCGACCATGTCGAGACAGCTTCCCCACAAAGTCCAGGGCTGTTTTTTGGTCCCAGCCCGTCCTTGAGTCACTCTCACATTTTGTGTTGAAAATCAGACTCTTAAACAGACTCATGAGTGCTTGTATTGATCACAGGCTGTGTTTTGTAAATTTATTTCCACCATTGTGACACCATAGTAACTGCTGAACATTCCATCAATATCGAACACCTCCAGCGTGAGTATCAATTTCCCCTCATCATTAATTAACTCAAAGTTGTAATTGAAAATCTGCTGCCTGATGTGGTGAAATGCAACAAAGAGCGCTGCAGTTTGGAATAGGAAGTCAACATTGTCCCTTTTTTATGTAAAAATATAATGTCCCAGTTAAAAGTTATAACTCTATTTTGATAACATTGATTTTTGTTTCTATTATTACTAAGTAATACTAAAGCAAGTACTGCAATACTGATAAAATACCAACTCCACTCCAATGTGAACTTATCTAAATAGGAAATATATGTGCAAATGAAGTGAATAATATACAAGGTAATTCAAAATGTCATTTTAAAAAGCAGCTTGTTTTCATTCCCATTTGTGTATTCATCACAAACCCTGAGTTCTTCTCTCAAATGGAAAACACTCTGCTCCACCTCGTGATGTCATATGGTAATACAGGAAGATTTTTTAAGCTCCATCCATCTTTTCTTGAATCATTTAGATAATTTCAGCCTTGGAAATGCCTATCTCTACTGAAGTAAAGGTAAAAGGAGCTGTTAACTTGAAAACGACTGCTTCATGACATCACAAGGTGGAACAGGGCATACTGAACTTTGGAGATGTAGACAGACAAATAATAAAGGGTTACTCACACACTTATGGATGAAACAAAATACAACTGCACGTATGTTTTTGATTCGGTAAAACTTAAATGACTTAAAGCTCACATTTTGCGTATATCTTGAGAATTTTCCTTTTGTGTGAAACTGAAACCCACCCAGATATAAGGAGAACATGCAAAACTCCAGAGACCTACCTGGAACCTTCCAACAGTGAAGCAGAAGCGAACCACTCAGCCACCCTGGAGGTAGAACAGCTCAAATTATGGAAAAGTCAATAGTAGTCAAAATGGAAGCCAAGGTATTCGCAGTTACAACTTTACTCCAGCGCTTCCCCATTGCATGTGTTCATATTCCAAAATGAGGTCAGATATATTTCCATAAGTCTTGTTGAATTTGGGTTGACAGTAATATGTAGAAATGTACGTCAAGGCGAATGCGGCTGCTGCCTACTCCGTTTGTCTGGCTGTGACATTTTCAGGACAAAACCAAAAACAGTTTGAGCAAAGCGGTGGCTCAAGACGGAAGCAGGTTATAGGGATGTTCTATCGTCAAAAGTCTCACAATAATATCATGGACCATCACAATATATCAAATTACAAGCCTCTTTGCTTAAATTCATTGTTATGTTACAGCAGGAGCTAAAAGAAACAGAGGTTTCAGTCCAGTTTACACACATGGAAATATCATACTGAGAAATTTTGATATCATGACCCACAGTGTTGGGGAGTAACAGATTACATGTACCGGCGTTACGTAATCGGAGTACAAATTATGTATTCAGTTACAGTTACTGTTTCAGTGAGTGGTAATTGGATTACAGTTACTTTGTTGAAATAAATGGATTACATGGCGGTATGTTCCTGTTTTCACATTTTGGGCTAAACCAGGACTATAACCAGGTCTAAACCAGGACTAAACCAGGACTAAACCAGGTCTAAACCAGGACTAAACCAGGAATAAATCAGGACTAAAACAGGTCTAAACAAGGACTAAGCTGGGCGTAAAACCATGTCTAAACCAGGACTAAACCAGGACTAAACCAGGGCTAAACCAGAAGCAAAACCAGGTCTAAACCAGGTAAACCAGGTCTAAACCAGGTCTAAACAGGTCTAAACCAGGACTAAACCAGGACTAAACCAGGGCTAAACTAGAAGTAAAACCAGGTCTAAACCAGGTCTAAACCAGGACTAAACCAGGACTAAACCAGGTCTAAACCAGGACTAAACCAGGAATAACTCAGGACTAAAACAGGTCTAAACCAGGACTAAACCAGGTCAAAACCAGGACAAACCAGGACTAACTACGACTAAAACCAGGTCTAAACCAGGTCTAAACCAGGTCTAAACTAGGACTAAACCAGGTCTAAACAGTATGAGACCTAACAGTAGGGTGGCCATACTCATATAAATTTCTCATTTCTCATATAAAAATCATTTCTCTATCAATAATATTTTTAATCTGGTTAAGTAAAGACTGGACTTTTTATTTTCTTTTAACAGACAAAACCTCTTATGTTAAGATTCTCGTCTTTGCTTCTCTACAGTAAACAAAAGTCTGTTCATGGAGACTTGGGCTCAACAGCCAATTTGAAGAGAACAAACATGAATTTTCAGGATGTGGTTGTTACATTCAAGTAGTTTTACAAATCATGACAATATCAAGTAATCCAAAGTATTCAGATTACGCTACTCGCTTTAAGTAATTTATTGGATTACGTTACAAACTACATTTTGGCATGTAATATGTAATCTGTAGAGGAATACATTTTAAAAGTCACCTTCCCAACACTGATGACCCATTATAATTATATATGTTGTCGTATAGAACTTTTTCGGTGGCTGGTACATCACCTGGTTGTTTCTATGGAGTTGTTATTGATTTGCAGCAGTCCAAACGTATTCCTCATTTTCCTAACACACTCCTAGCATCTTATTTATTCACTGCAATTCTTTTGAGACCGGTTTTGCCGTCATGGTAATGCTTCCAACACCTACCATGTTAACAATGCATTGTAAGGACTCTTAAAGCAGACCTATTATGCAAAATTGACTTTTCAGAGCTTTTAATCATGTTTTAGTAGTTTCCCCTTCTCATTTCCCTTCTCAAAGTTGTATTTGGAGTGATTCGTGCATCTTTTATTGCTTATTTTCAACACGCCATATTGCCAATATTTCACCGCCTCTAGCTTTCACCCACTGCTCTGTACTTCTGCATTCCATATTCACTCTCCAATTATATTTTCTTTAACCCTGGTTGGTACAAATGAAAAAAAAAAAAAATCCACTACTTGCATGTGTGTTGTGCAGCTCTCCATCAGAGGTGCCAACAGCTACATGACCACACTTTTAATGATGTTAACTTTTATTTATTTATGTATTTATTTATTTATATTATTTATTTATTGGTAACACTTTATAATAACTACACCGTATTTAGCCTTAATAAAGCATGAACAAAGGCTTAATTAATAATGAACAAAGACTTAAATAATAATGATTCACACTTAGTAACAACTTAATCACTACCTTCATTAGCACTTGCACTTAATTTGCCTGTGCTGTAAATAGTTGTAAGTTATAATAGTCATAATTATTTCATACTTAATTACTCATAAACTAACCATTTGAGCATTTATTAATCATTAATAAGCTATGAGAGAATGATTTACTAATAATACAATGCAATGATCATTCAGGCAGCTGTTATCTGTTAGTTAAGTCTTTCTGAGAGCTTTTCTAAAGACAAATTATGCTTTATTAAGCATTTACTAAGCATGAATCATTATAAATTAAATCTTTGTTCGTTATTAATTAAGTCTTTGTTCATGCTTTATTAAGGTTAAGTAAGGCGTAGTTATTATAAAGTGTTAAAAAAAATAGCCTCTTCTGCAAAGTTAAAATGGGACAGAAGCATTTATTTCCTAAGTAACATTGGAAATATTGAATCACAAGTCAAATCAGGCTCGATAGGCAGACCTCTCATTAAAATATGTATTGTTAATTGCAGTTTTAATATGATATCATTTGAAGGGTCAGCATTGTAATCTGTTTAATAACACTGATGATTTGTCTTCCACAGGAGCTGATCACGACCCTGTACATTGGGTTCCTCAGCCTGATCTTTGCCTCATACTTCGTGTACCTGGCTGAAAGGGATGAGCCAGACACTGGAATGGGGAACTTTGCAGACGCTCTGTGGTTTGGAGTGGTGAGTACAAGTCGCACATCTGTTATGATACAGGCTAAATCCAGCGTACTTACAGAAATAGGTTGGGTTCACGTGACATCAAAACATTCTAAAGCTAGCTAGACAGTTTAAAAGTGAGTTTGAGGACAGGTTAGATTTACATGGTGGAGTTTGCTGTTTAACTGTTGCAGATTTGTTGACCTGGTTTATGGTTCAAATCTCTGTAATTACTGAGTCTATTCATAGGAAAGAAGAAGTGACAGAAAGTTCAACATATTCTCTGCCAATATAAATGAACAAAGGCTATTATTATTATTGTTTTAATTTTTTTTTCCACAATCATAACTTTAATAAGACAAGTATGTGGACCCAAGCCATAGCAAATCATGGTAAAATTCAACATTTGTGGATCTTAAGTTCAATCTTTCAAAACCAGGGAATCTCCAATGTGTTTTTTGGACAGAAATTAACCGTGGTAGGAACATTGGTTGTCCATCAAACTGGTCTTTCATGCCTTTGACCCATGTCCTGAAGCCTATTTTTTGTCTTAAGACTGTCTCATGTAATAACTGCTTCAATATCAGAACAGTCCTAATCTTTACTGTCAGCTTATTGTAAATGTGAATTTGGCTTTGTTGCAGCTAATTATACATAACATGCTAATCAATGTTTAATATTTGTGATTAGCAAACAGGTCAAAGAAAGGCTAATGACTCTTTGAAATCTTTCACATGTGGAATCAGTGATGCACTAAATATTAATTAAGTGAAAGTTTCGGTTTTAGTGCTTACATAATCATCCCTTTAGAAAAGACTGTACATGTTTGAGTGTACATGCTCTATTTTAATCCGACACACTACAATATTATTCTGTGCATGCATTTGGAACAGCTTTGCAATAACTCCAGTATATTTCCCCCTAAGGACTTGTGTTTAAAGAAGCCTACACTTGAATAATTCATTGAACGCATCATGAAGACAACACAGCAGTACCTGTGGGCCTCTGGTTAGCTGTATTCCGTTACGGCTCGCTGCTAAGTAGGAGCTTTGATGGTGTTTTGGGCAGTGAAAGGTTGAATCTGCAGCGCCATGTGTTCTTGGTTTGTTGTTTTGTCGGAGGAGTGAGGCCCCCAGGCACACGCGGAGGTCCAGGGAAACAAAGAGATCCGAGTGCGGAGTCAATAAGTGGGCATACGCTGGAGGATAGCACAGTGGAGAGGGGCAGGGGAGATGGAGTATAGGTCTGAATGCAGAATGAGAGCAAGGTGAGAGGGTCATTCTGTGGGAAAACACACGTAAATCAGCCATGCGTTGCTGGTAAACCTCAGCTTCTCAAATATATATAGGTTATACAAATGTTTACAATACAAACTCTCCTCTATCACCTCTGGCACCACAGTAGTGTTTGTGTTTTTATTTGTTCTTTTGTCTTTAAATGTTGTAAATGATTATCGATCGACTGTTTATGACACTTCTAATGTTGCGACATGTACTATTATTACACTATCACCACTTCTACTACTGCTGCTGATACTATAAACAAACGAACTGAATGAAATATTTGATTTTAAATTTCATAATCTGTGTTCTCAGATATGAGGTAAACATGTTCAAATCCAATCTAGCTTTTACTTTTAACAACTATAATTCTGATGTATTATTTAATCTAGTTATGTTATAATTTGGTGTTTTGGTTCTCAAGATGATAACCCAGTTAAAAAACTAAACGAACCTCATATGATTCTCACATTTCTGTTGCCAGTTCAATGCCGAAATCCAGTTGTTCTGAGTCAGTGAGTGAATTCTGGAGGTTCTGAGTCATAAACTTGGGTATTAAAACCTCTGTATGTGTCCTCTAACTGCAGGTTAAGGCTCTGGCAACCCAAGGTCAGTTGTGATTAAATGCAGCCTACTTATAGTTCCTCCAATAATGGTAAAAATAAACATTCTTCTTTTTTTTTTTTTTTTTTTTACATTTTTTACTGTGACTTTTGAGTAACAGGATCTGACAAGGATATTGTCTTTAGGTCCTTTTTGACTCATATTTGATACATTTGCTCAAATCAGAATTATAATACAAGTTGTAGTATGTATAGTACACAACAAACCTTTTAAAATAAACTAGTTCTGTTTCATATTCATATTTTTATGACACTAAAAATCAGTTGCAGCACCTTCAACTCAGTGTGAATGAAATAACTGCATAACATAACATGCTCAAATCAAAATGTATTGAACTGTTCTACTCTAGTATATATATTCTTAACCCAAGGGACAGTCACATCCTCTCCTCCGTGTGCAGGTTACCGTGACGACCATTGGATATGGAGACATAGTGCCTCACACGTGGGTTGGAAAGACCATTGCCTCGTGTTTTTCCGTCTTCGCCATCTCCTTCTTTGCACTACCTGCTGTAAGTACACACTTAGGCTTCAGTGTATCGGTGTTTTTCTCACAGAGTAGTGATTATATGGACCAAAGGACTCTTTAAAGAATATAGGTATAGGCTAATGCAAATGTGACTTTGAAAGTGCATGTGAAGTTAGACCACTCATCTCATGAAAACAGAGTTATGAACATCATTATATTTAAAGGTGCACTGTGTAACTTTTTGGTTGGGGTGCATCACCTGCTTGTTTCTATGGAGATGTCATTTTTCTGCCTGGAATGTTCCAAAGTATGACATTAAACAGCTGTAGTTTACATTTATTCAATTACAGATTTTTTTATAGCTCAAAGGTACCTAGAAAAACAAGTATTCAGGGTTGCCTCTCCGCAGATCTGACCTGTAATGTGGTCTGCTTTGGTCTTCATGAAGATAGAAAGGTTTAATGCCACACTGTGAAACATTCCATACAAAGCAATAACAATTTCCATGAAGAAAAGTATTAGATGGAACCTCTACCAAAAAAGTTACATAAGGTCTTTCATTAAAAATTGTTTTGTAATAATTTTGTAATTTTGGTGAAGACATGGGCAGCAGATATGAAATACATAGAGGTATTTCCATAACGGTTACCTAGCAACCATAATGTCAACAAGGGCCAAACTTGTTATGATTAGACTGACAGAAATAAATAACAGTACTTTTATTTTGTCAAAGGGAGGTTTAAACTGTCAGAAAAATGCCTTCGTTTTGCATAAATTGTGCCTGCATTTTGGATGGAATGTTTGGTGTTGCTGACAGTAGCTCAGCTGGTATTTGTCCACTGATCCAATCCCAAATCCAACATAAAACATCTTTGGTAGAGCGGTCAGATCCACTCACCCCGAGTGTCTGTGTACACTGGTGTGTGAATGTGTGTGTGAATGGGTGAGTGGCTCCTTGAGGTAAAGTGCTTTGAGTGTCTTAAAAATGTGACCATGGCACATATAGAGGTGCTCCATTTTAGAACTCACCACTGCTGCCTGTATTTTTCTACTTTTCTTCTCAGTTTTTTTTTTTTTTCACACATTGTCACTTACCTGATGTAAAACTATGATGAATATTTTCAAGTATTATCCTGCCAAGCCAAGTAATTAGAAACACATGAAAACCTGTCCATCTTTTAAAATACCATCATTGTCTATTGACACTTTGTAGTGACGTTGGGGGTGTTCTACATATATCTCTATGGTGGAATGGTCAACAGTTACCAAGCAACCAAAGAAGTTTAAAAAATATATATATATACAAAATACAAAATTGATTTAAACAACAAGTTTTCAAAGGCCTGTGATCAATACAAATGTTCCTGATCATGTTCAAGGGTCTGTTTACACGAGAACGTTTGTGGGTAAAAACGACAAATTATTTAATCGGAAGTGCCTTTCATTTAGACAATGACAGCGTTTTTGCAGCTTTAAAACGCAAAAAGGAAGGAGGCCCCAAGGAAGACCCAGGACACACTGGAGGGACTATGTCTTTCAGCTGGCCTGGGAACGTCTAGGGGTCGGAGCAGCTGGAGGACACGTCTGGGGTGGAGGAAATCTGGGAGTCCCTGCTTAGACTTCTGCCCCCGTGACCCGGCCCCGGATAAGCAAAAGAAAATGGATGGATGGAAAAACACAAAATTCTGAAGCCACCATCCAGAGTGGAAAAGTTGAATACACTCCGCCGTAGCGTTTCCATTTACACTGCCCAAGACGCAAAACTCTGGTCAGATTGGCTCACATCACGTACATACATCACATACATACAGTACACAGAAACAAACATGTCGGATCATTTCCATCCATCAGACCTTCAAACTGGTCTGGCAGCTCTACAAGTGTGTGCGGACAGAGCGGTCACCTGGCATGCATACCCAATCGAATTTCACACACTTTTGCGTCACCGTATGCACGCAGATTTCCTCCCAAATACGTTTGTCTAAACGCAGAATAAAAAGTGATGCCACTTTTGCGTCTTCTGTTCAGACCGTCATCACATAAACGTAGCCTAAGAGTTTGATTTTCAACACACAACGTGAGCTTGCTTGTGACTGTAATTTTATATCATTTTATTGTTTAACAGCACAAATCATCTCACCTTTTGTAGTTCCAATTAAGTCAGCTCTTAGGTCAGATTGTGTTAAAACAAAAATCATCTTAAAGTCTAATTTGAGCCACGGAGCTTCAGATTGAGTCCCATGGATAACATCAGCTGCAAGTATGAATACAAACATGGCGAGTCTATAGGTGGATCATTACTGGTTGTAAATGAGGTCTCTGGGCTTTCCCTTAGCTCGGAACAGATCATGGCCTGTGTGGAGGGCTGCACTGGTGCTGTCACTGTGAGTTTATGAAACACATTGTGGTGCTACATTCACACAGGATCACGTCTGTGGCACAGAGATCACACTTCTGCACATGCTGGTTTTGCACATAAGTAACCCGCATACACAAGTTTTATTCTACTAAATAACGAAATACTGTAATATTGTATCGTCAGAAGTCTCACAATAATATCATGGGCCATCACAATATATCACATTACATTTCTTTGCTGAAAGTGCATATGACAGCTTAGACTACTAATGTGACTAAAACACAGTTAAGATCATTATATTTAAATATAATGTCATATATTTAAATGTCAAATATAATGTCACACAAGAGTCATATGCACTTGAAGTTCATTGTTATGGTGCAGCAATAGACAGGGAACTAACTATATATATATATATATATATATATATATATATATATATATATATATATATATATATATATATATATATATAAAGAGCAATATTATGTAACTTTTCTGGTGCAGGATTTGCCACCTGCTTGAATTCTTGGAGATGTTATCTTTGCCTGGCATCTTTCTTTACAATATATCATTAAATTTGTCACCATGGAGACAATCCCCATGTCAAGTTACAGGCCACTAATAACTGGCCAAGCTGGCCAAGCTTGAACCCAGATCTGGAGATGGTCCTGTGCCCACTGCTCTGGACAGGTTGCCTCAGCACTGGTGGCATGGCTTACATTCAGAGGAGACATTTCCCCCCAGTATACCTTACACTGAATATTATACATACCTCAAATACATTGAAGTATGTCTTGATGCTAGACACACAGCTCATATGTGTGCACACGTGTTTCCCTCCACACTGCGCCAGAGGTTAAACTATCTGAACTATTTAACACATCTGAATGTGTGCAGTGATTCTCACAGAAAGTCAGACTAAAGCTGCTCTGTGGGTTATTGACTTTGAGAGCTTGTATCTGAAAGAGCAGACAAGTGAAATGTGATAGAACAGTCCCTTTACATTTAGGGCTGCTCGGGATGACTCTGTTCCCTCTCTGTAGGGAATCCTGGGCTCCGGCTTCGCTCTCAAAGTTCAGCAAAAGCAGAGACAAAAACACTTCAACCGACAGATCCCTGCAGCAGCCTGCCTCATCCAGGTGAGTGACCCCTCCTCATCCAGGTGAGTGACCCCTCCCCCTCCTCATCCTGGTGAGTGACCCCTCCCCCTCCTCATCCTGGTGAGTGACCCCTCCCCCCTCATCCAGGTGAGTGACCCCTCCCCCTCCTCATCTTGGTGAGTGACCCCTCCCCCTCCTCATCCAGGTGAGTGACCCCTCCCCCTCCTCATCCAGGTGAGTGACCCCTCCCCCTCCTCATCCTGGTGAGTGACCCCTCCCCCACCTCATCCAGGTGAGTGACCCCTCCTCATCCAGGTGAGTGACCCCTCCCCCTCCTCATCCAGGTGAGTGACCCCTCCCCCTCCTCATCCAGGTGAGTGACCCCTCCCCCTCCTCATCCAGGTGAGTGACCCCTCCCCCTCCTCATCCAGGTGAGTGACCCCTCCCCCTCCTCATCCTGGTGAGTGACCCCTCCCCTCCTCATCCTGGTGAGTGACCCCTCCCCCCTCATCCAGGTGAGTGACCCCTCCTCATCCAGGTGAGTGACCCCTCCCCCTCCTCATCCAGGTGAGTGACCCTCCCCCTCCTCATCCAGGTGAGTGACTCCTCCCCCTCCTCATCCAGGTGAGTGACTCCTCCCCCTCCTCATCCAGGTGAGTAACTCCTGCTCCTTCCAGGATGAGTGACTCCTTTTTATTCAGGTGAGTCCTTTATTTGGCTGAGTGACCCCTCTTATCCAGATGAGCGTTGGTGGTGGTTAGAGGGGCGTCTGATGCAGACTGGCTGTAATGTGCTATATAGATTTAATGCATCATCATTATTATTTTTATAAGTCCTGGCTAAAGGTGGAGTCATATCTGTGTTTCATGTGTGTACAGACAGCCTGGAGGTCTTATGCAGTGGACAACTTTCAGACTGCAACCTTCAAGATGTTTCTCAGAAAGAGGAGCCACATCCCAGCGTCTTCTGTGCACAGCCCCAAGCCCAAGAAGTCGGTCAGTACAAAGACAAATTTGTGATGTTATACTTACATTTAACTCTTTTGTGTCACCAAAGCAGTATTCATCACTCCACCATGGCACCTCCTTCCCACATGTCACACATAACACATGGAAGGTGATGTAAATGCCATTCAAACATGATGTGTATACTCATGGGTTGAAAGGGTGCATTATGATAAGAGCTGTTAAATAAAGATTATTATTGTCATTTAAAGGTGTGTTATGTAACATTTCTGATAGAGAGTCAATCTCCTGTTTAAACGTTAAAACAACTAAATCAGCAGCACCACACACACACTCACACTTGACTGTTAGACACATAATAAATCAAGTTTGAACAAAAAACAAAGACAGAGTTCAAAGATAATCACAAAATACAAGATGAACAACAAAATTCAACAAAATGATCAAAAACAATTACTTGGGTTTTGTAAATATTGAACCAGAGCATTTTTAAATGAAGGAACAGAAGTTAATGCATGAATCGATGAGGGAAGATTGTTCCAAACAAAGGGAGTTCTATATTTAAATGAGGGTTTTCCTATTTGTTTCTTGACTCTTGGGACAACAAAAAATATCTGATCTGCATGACATACACTGTAAGAGGATCTAAATGGAATTAAATAATGTTTGAGATGTTGAGGATAACTGAGATGAATGCATTTAAAGATAAATAATAACCAGTGAAGTTGATGTTGGGAGGACAGAGTGAGTAGAACAGATGGTGATACATTGTACAATGGTGAGTTCTGAAGGGACAGAGGAGAATGAGTGCATATTCATGCACATTAGTATCCCTGTTATTAGCCGTATCCCGGTTATGGCAGTATTCGGGATACTGCGTATACATGCGCGCTGAGAAACACACGAAAAGACACACATATCCCTGTATACATGATCAAATGTAGTATCCTGTTTTTTGACATAATCTTATAAATGTGTAATTGCAAAAATTAGCTTAAGTCAATTTAATAAACCAGGAAAAATACAAACCATGAGCTCCTTTAGTGTCGGAAGCTCGGGAAGTTTAACCAGTCGTAAGGAGCTTTGAGGTATCCCACAATCCATTGCACAGATCAAACCCAACAGATTCTTCATTAAAATTTTCTGCATAAATAAACTCAACTTTACAACATATAAACTAGGGATGGGCATTTGATGAAATTTTATTAATCGATCGTCGGAAGAATTAACGATCGATTATCGATTAATCATTAAAGTTTTTATATTAAAATGATCATCATTATTATTACTATCTGCACTACTAATCTGCATAAATAAACTCAACTTTACGACATATAAACCGTAACCACTCTAGAGCCACATCAGCCCGTTTGACATTATAATATGTTTAATTCAGTTTTGCGCAACTCTCACAGAAACGAAACTTAAAACCACATCGCTAATTTGCATAAACTAAGCAAAGATAAAACTACAGCTCTTGTGTCGCTGATGCGGTCAATTTCTGTCAGATTAAAAGACATGATTCAGTGGAAAACAGGTTAGTGTGACCAGATTTGTGTTTGTCAAAACCAGGACACGGTACGGGGGGAGGGAGGTGGGGACTCGTCATCGACATTGCGCGACTCTCACCTGGCAAAACTTTTTCCCAATGGACACCGAAACATATGTTCCTGCTTTATACACTGTGCACATGACCTCCCACTTGTCCTGAACGCAATGGAAAGCGTAGAATTTCTTGTACAAATCATCGTTAAATACACATTTGTGCTTTGGTACTTTGCAGACTGACCGAATGTTTGTGTCTTGCTCCTTCTGAGTGCAGAGAGACACATGTACAGACCTGTTTGGTCACACTACGCACAGCAACCTACATTCAGTTTGTCAATTAAAATTAACGTAATCGATGAAATTCTTAATGATCAATTATCGATTAATTGACTAATCATACCCATCCCTAATATAAACCATAACCACTATAGAGCCACATCAGCCTGTTTGATAATATAATTCAGCTTTGATCACATTGGTTTACATTTCACAGAAATGAAACTTAAGAACGCATAAACTGTTAGCGGTGATAAAAACAGCTCACTCCTTGTGCCGCTGATGTGATCAGCTTCTATCAGAGTAAAGGACACGACTCAGTGGATTATGTGTGTTCTTTTTGTGACAGAAGAGGTGCTAATGATGGTGAGTCTGTTCTGTGCGTATATTGTAGGAGATAGTTCATGTTTTAGCTTTTCAGCAATTATAAACGTGCAGGTCATACGAGTGCAGATTGTACGTGTGCAGGTTTAGGGTCATTTCACTCACGTATGGTCACTTTATTTATGTTGGTCACGTTATTTATGTCGTTACTGTTGTGGTGAAAAGACTGGAAAATGTTTGTCTTTTGGACGCATATCCGCTCAACTTTATGTCGCAGTAACGAGGATACTGCGTAAAAATGCCACAGTGTCCCAGTCACTATCGGAATATACCAGCTACAGTAACCCGGTTTCTAATTAACGGGATACTGCCATAACCGGGATACTGAAACTGGGATATTGCCTATACATGCACCATGAAGAAACCGGGATACTGATGTGCGTGTATACACACTCACAGTAATCGAAAAAGTTGTGAGATAATCTTTTTCCTGACAGAAAAGCTAAAACAATTGATGGACTGATAAAGTAATTTTAAGTGGTATGAAATTTAGTTTGTATTTTATTTGATTTAACACATTTGTCATTTCAATTATTTGTACTTTTATTGCTTAAAAAAATAAACAAAAACAAATACATTGGAAACACATTCATTATTACTACGAGTGCCTCTCCACATTTTTGACTCTTAACTTGACCTGGTGGCGTCATTTGAGGGGAAATAACTGCTACAGAATGCATTTGGATCAGTTTTGTTTTATTCTGTTTGTGTTTAAAGGAAATGAATGCTGTTTTCAGACTCTACTCTGGTTGAAATCGGTTTTGAGAAAAGCTGGCTCAGTGCTTTTACAATCCACCATCACAGTACAATGTCTCTTTTGCTTTCCACTTGCCCAACTATAAATAAAGCATATCTCTGACAAGTAGGTTTTCTTTCTGTGTGCAGGTGAAAATGAGACCTGCAGCTGCTCTGTTTATTTTGTTGTGCGGTGATGAAAATGGGATGTTTGGCTGTTGAGTTATTTCTGTTTACTGTGACAATGAGAGTGGGATACAGTTGCCACGTTACTTAGTAGTTAAATCAAAGCCAAACGTGAAAACTAACCTTGCAGCTGATCCTTTGTCTTACTGTGTGAAGGTGAAAATGAGAAGAACAACTTAAATTCTCAGTTCTAATGTTGACAGCTTTTTTCTAACTCTAACATGTGATAATGAAAATGGAAGCTTTTCGGTTGTGTCAATTCTATTATGTGACTTGCAGCTGTTTAGTTTCTTGTTGCAGCTGTTCGGTTATTTATGTGCGGTGTGTGTGCAGGTGAATGAGAGTTAATGCCGTTATTTGTTATTATACACGGGAAAAGTAACACCTGCAGCTGTCCGGTCTACTCTGTTTGATATGCGCTGGTGAAAATGACCACATGCAGCTGTTTAGTTTGTTCTGTCCAATGTGCGCAAGTGAAAATTACTTGCAGTTGTCTAGTTAATCCAGTTCTATGTGTGGAGGTGAAAATGAGACTTGCAGCTGTTCAATTAGTTGTTATTATTATGTCTGTTTCAATGAAGCCTGAGGCCAGTGTGTGCAAGAGAATGATACTTACAGTTGTCCAGTTTGCTCTTCCTTATCAGATGGTATAAAGGAACACCTGCAGCTGTTTAGTTTGTTTTGTATGAATTGCGAAGGGGAAATTAGACTGGATGAAAGGAGTACTTGCAGCTGTTCAGTTTGTTTTGTCTGATGGGAGCAGGTGGAAATTAGACTTGGAGTGTCGACTTTGTTCTGTGTGGACTGCAGGTGAATGAAACTTGCAGCTGTTCAGTCGGTTATTAAATTATATACATTTTCTCTGTCTGTGAATAAAATGAGACTTGAGTGAGTATTATGGGATTAGCTGTTCAGTTTGTTCCATGTGTGGTGTACAGGTGAAAATGAGACCTGCAGCTGTTCAGTTCATCTCATCTTTTAGCCCATCTTTTGTGTAGAGCAGAGGTCTTCAACAGGGGGGTCATGGAATCTTTGGTTGATTTGCCATTTTATTATTATTATTATTATTATTTTATTTTATTTTTAAATTTTTTTTGCAGGATGAGGATGAACTGGTTTTGAGTCGGTTTTGTCTGTGCACTCCTTCATCATGTCTGTCCCTGTTCATTCCCTTGTCAAACTCCAAACACATCAGCACAGATTTTATCGCTTTTTGATTCATAGCAACACATTACGCACATTTTGCACGACATGTAGGGCTCCAAGTGCTTAATATGAGCACCACATGAATCCACTCAAAACTACTGGCATAGCATTTGGCGGTGCAGCTCCCGGTCCCTCCCCTCCCGTTCTGTTACTGCTTCCCTTTTATGCACAGTCTAACGTAAGATCTGCACGTATTACTGCGCATCAGGAAGGGGTGAAGCAACTTCGGGTGTATTAACCAGGCTCTGGACTACGCAGCCGGGTCCCTCTCCCGGTTGCTCCGTGGACAGAGAGGAGTGACCAGGAGAGGAGGGGGAGTGATGTGGAGAGGACGGAGAGAAGAGAGAGAAGAGTGGATGGGGGAGTCGTGTCTTTCCTCTCGCCCCTCAGATCAGAATGAGCGGAAAAGTTCCGTGGCCCAAATCAAGCTCTCCTAGTGTGCGCTGTGGGTCCTCTCTTGTTTAATCAGATCATTAAAAAAAAGTCACACTTTGAGCCAGTTTCCCGTGGTGTCGTTGCTCCATTGATCTGGCCTTCTGAGAGTCATTGTGAGCACAAAATGCAGCTTAAACTTCAGGCCTGAGTTTTGCTTTGGTCTGAGGCTTATTTCTGTCATGGATTAAACTGGAGATTGAGCTAGATTCAGCTCAGGATTTCAGGATAAGCCTGGACTTGTTAAGCGACTTTGATGAAATACCCCCTAGTACTGAATGTACAATAACAGAGTAGCTGTTTATACACAACACTAGGCCCAATTTAATAAAAACACAATTGTATGCCATATACATATAGTGGGGGGCACGTTTGGGGGTCCCCAGCCTCAAAAAACATTGAAGACCCCTGGTGTAGAGGTTAAAATGATCCTTGCAGCTGTTCAGTATGTTCCGTTTTTGTATACAGGTGAAAATGAGACTTGTAGCAGTTCAGTCTGCTCCATCTTTTGTTTACAGGTGAAAATGATACTTTCAGCTGTTCAGTCTGATCCATCCTTTGTATACAGATGAAATGAGACTTGCGGCTGTTCCTTCTATTAAAACATTTATGCACAGGTGAAAATTAAACATGCAGCTGTTCAATCTTTTAAATCATTTATGCAGAGGTGAAAATGTGACTTGCAGCTGTTGAGTCTTTTTCTGTCCTTTATATGGGTGAAAATGGTACTTGCAGCTGTTCTGTCTGTCCCATTTTTGTATACAGGTGAAAATATGACATGCAGCTGTTCAGAGTTACCATGGAAATCCGCTATTGCTGTGACAGTATTGCAGAATTCTCTGATATAGTATATAAAAACACTTAAAAAGCAAAGAAAAGCACGGCTGAACATCCCGATAAACTGCTGGGTCACTTTTGAATAAACGCTAAGACTAGTATTTTGTATCTTTAAATACTATCCCAAACTCTATACAAGTGAGAATGTCAGTCTGTCCCATCTTTTACACACATATGACAGTGATACTTGCAGTTGTTCAGTCTGTTCTGTCTTTTATACAGGTTAAAATGAGGAAGAAAGTGAGGAGCACCGACTTCAGCCCCACCTCCCCGACCATCCCCACTATCTCGTACGACGTGGCGCTGGACGGAGGGAGAGACGTGTACAGCACCGTGGGAACAGGTACGCACCCCCCTGACCCTGCTGTCTCCATGGTAACGCAGACAGGTGTACCCGACATGTGAGCTGGCCTACTGTGCAGAATGATTGGATGAGAGTGGCAGATGTGGATTAGAAGAGATTTCACCTAAAGCAAAAAAATAAAAAATACACAGGTGTCTCAAACTGAAATGGTTTTACGCTGCTGTCAAAATGATCCTGTTTGAATTCTGTATTTGACAGTGTAATGCCTACTTGTGTGTTGTGTACTATTACCATATTTTTTGGACTATAAGTCGCACTTTTTTTCATGGTTTGGGTGGTCCTCTGACTTATATATATTCAAATTTTCAGGCTGACAGCCACGAGAAGGCGCTCTAGGCTTGTGTGTCAGTATCTAGTACTACTATTACTCCTGTACCACTGTCCCTTCACACTCTACTGCGCATGTGTCCTGTAGAAAAAGCCGCTGTCTTGCTGCAAATAATGAAATATGCAGCCGAAAACGATAATCGAGCAGCAGAGAGAAAGTTTGGATTGAGCGAGAAACTTGTGAGGGACTGGTAGAAAGCGGGAATGGAGAACACAGTTTCGTGGGAACTGGGAGGGTGCCCTATCTATCTTTCCTGGAAGTCATTGGCTGAATTGACAAAGCATGAACTTCAATGACAATTGAAACCATCCTGTCGGGATTCAGAAAGGCTGGAATAATTACCTCCGCCAAGGAGGTTATGTTTATGCCGGCGTTTGTCTGTTTGTGTGTTTGTTTGTGTGTTTGTTTGTTTGTTTGTTTGTCTGTTAGCAACATAACTCAAAAAGTTATGGACCAATTTTGATGAAATTTTCAGGATTTGTTGGAAATGTGAAAAGGAAGAACTGATTTCATTTTGGGGGTGATCCGGAAGAAATCCTGGATTCTCGATCACTTTGAAATTTTAGTTAACATTGTGGTAAATGGGGCCAAAAATTTTGTTTCTCAATATCTCGGTTAATTATTGACCAAATCCCATGAAATTTGACTCAGGGATGGGATCCTCTTTCATATTCCAAAGGCTGATCCGGATCTGATCCAGAAGACTGATTTTATCGCAATTTATATAAAAAATAGGGGTAGTCCTTGGCGGAGGTCTGCGCTCTCTGAGTGCTTTTCTAGTTCTAACTGGAACTGATGCTGAGTCTGACGACAGCTACGCAGAAGAGGAAGTGGTGCTCTGTTTACATCATGGATCTATGGTTTATCTCCAGAGGTCGCGCAGAAATGACACCGACAATGAAGAATTCAGTGGATTTAGTGATTTGGAGTGGATTGTGAGTTTAGTAAACTTATGTTCTGTTGTTTATGCTATAATTATCTGAATAACTTTTAATATGTTACATTAACATATTAACAGTTATTCAGTCTGTTGTTTTCTTGTTCTATTGTTATTACTAACTTGCCTTTCAAGATGAAATGTCGATTCCTGGTCTCTGATTTTACAAAATACATGTCCCCAAAAAGTGTGACTTATAGTCCGGTGTGACTTATATATGTTTTTTTTTTTTTTTTTTCTTCATTGCGCATTTTTTGTCTGGTGCAACTTATACTCCAGAGCAACTTATAGTCCAGAAAATACAGTACTTACTTGAGGAAATGTTTTATTCTTACTTGAGTAATGTTATTTTGAAGTAGCAGTACCCTTATGTGAGTAAAATGTTTGGCACTCAACAGGAATAGTTTTTCAATGGGTTGCAATAGCCAAGAAGAAAGTTTTAAGAGACCATCCTTCCTATTGTTAGGGGCTGTCTGGCTTTTGCCCAGTGAACTCTTTTGTGTGTGCATTCTTTTAGGACTGTTACCTCTGGTTACACAGAAATATTTCAAGAAAAGATAAAGAATTCTGAATATTGCAGACATAAGGAAATGAAAGAAGAAACTGTAGCAGCATAGTTCGCTTTTTTACTCCTTTACAAAAGCACAGACTCTTACTTAGTGAAAGTTGTGGTTACTATGCACCTTACCTTCAGATATGAATTATTTTATACATTTCCGTGGCCTTTCCTTTGGAAATGCCAGAAGCTGTTCTTTATGTAAACTTGTGTCTTAGTCAGTACTGAAGTAGTATATTCTGCAAAAACATTCTTTCTTTTACTTCTATTATTATTTCTCTTTAAATCCAGGTCACTTTTTTTTTTTTTTTTACTTTAAATAGTATTAAAGTAACCTTACTCTTACTTCAGTACAGATACTGGTTACCACCTCCCACCTCTGCTCTCGCCCAATTGTTGCAGAGGGACGGTGAGGACATGTCACAACCAATATTTGGGGAAGACAAAATAGTTCCTACCAATATTTGACATTTTATTTTAATAAACAAAAATATAAATTTATTCTGATATTTTTCCAAACTCAATAGTATTAAATGAGCATGTTTTAGTTCACATTTTGTTTATTAGACGTTCTGAGATGTATTCAGTGATATGACGACAGGGCTACCCCTGCTGCTATTTCACTGACTGCAACAGAGTGATGTCGTTAGTGGAGCCAGGAGCCTAAATTGGGGAAGCGTCAGGACAGGACCAGCACCCGGAGATGTAGGCTTGAGCAGGTGTGAGTAAAGACGCTGCACCAAACTCTGAAAAACTTTTCAAAAGGAACTTACTTGGCTTCATCTTCAATTAAACTTGCCTTATAATGAGTCGCCGTGTAAAAAGAGCGACTATCACCACAAGTGCACCTCCCAAACGGAGCTCTACTTGTACGCTGTGAGCAGCCCGACTCTACTGACAATAATCCATGGAAAAATTATCTCACAAATATCTCATCACCAACAAGCAAAGGGAAATCTGCTACAAACTTCTACATCGCTGTTTTCCACTAAAGAATCATTTTAGAAGAGCAATGGACACAAACTGTACATTTTGTGAACTGAAAAATGAAACCACCTCTCACTTATTTTGGACCTGCCCAGACTCTGTGTGTTTCTGGAAATAATTCATAAAACATATGGGGACCTTAAGTTATTTTAACCCATATCTGAAGTTTAAATCTTGTTACTGGTCTAAAAACAAAGGATTTACATGATTTTTGTCCCCATAAAGAAGCAGGATCCCATTATGCTAGCGTGCATACAGATTCTAGTCTCCATGATGTGATGAATACCACTAGCACACTCTGGAGCATTAAAAATACATGAGAGGATCAGCAGAGACTGTACTTGTGGGGTCTGATTCTAGGTGTGATTTAGACCTGCTCCACATTACACACCCAGACCTTTCAACAGTTCACTTGACATTGACAAATTTCCTATTGTATCCTGTTTGTCACATCACTCTCACATCTACAAAGAGACCTGGCTGTAAGATTCTGTGTCAAATGAATCTCAAAACTGAAACACGATTACAACAAGACTAAAACAGGATTAAACCAGGACTAAACCTGGATTAAAACAGGACTAAACCAGGATTAAACCAGGACTACTCCAACTCTAATCCAGGACTACACTGAGACTAAACAAGGACACCAGGACTACTCCAGCACTACACCAAGATCAAGACCAAATCAGAACCAAACTAAGCCTTCTCCAGGACTACACCAAGACCAAACCAGGACTAAACCAAGACTACTCCAGGTCTTTTGCTCAGTAAATATTAGAAATTTCAGGGCTGCAATGATCCAAATCAGGGGTGTTCAAACTTTGTTCATAAAGGGCCACATATCTAAACACAGATGAAGCAGAGGGCCGATCGAGGACAGTAGACTGATGCTCAATACAGGGAATAATTGAAATATGTGCATGTTTAACACGTTAGAATGAGCCACCAGTCTTTAATCATGCTAAGATCCTTAAAATATAAAATAAATGATCCTAAATATTAAATACTGGCTTTATCAAGGTAGATTTTCAAAAAAACTTGCAGTAAAAAATATTTTTTAATTGATGCAAGGTAATTTGGGCCAATTCACCTGGAAGCCTGAGGGCCAAGAAAAATTTGTCTGAGGGCTGCATTTGGCCCCCGGGCCATTTGCCTGATCCAAATGATTCTAGTGAAGGTGTGTGGAGTTTAAAAACACTATGGAGTACTTCCTGTATCACAACAAGGTGGAACTATGCGGGGTTTGTGTGTTAAGCATGTGTGAATGAAACAAAACAGTTTCTTTATTATAAAACCTGTTTTTATGTGTTGTTGGGACAACAACACACACACACACAAAACACATTTATACATTTTTTTATTTCGGTAATTCCACTCATTGCTGGAAAGCCACACAAAACGTGCACAGTAAGAGCGATGTAAACGTTATGGTAACGTTCGCGGCGTCAGTCACACAGTGGACGAGGTCAAAGAGCCAGTAGAACAGAGGCAGCAGCGCACAGGTAAAAACACATTCATGTCTTGGAAATTATTCTCCCGACGTGAAATATAAAAGAAAATAACAAATATAATATCGCCTGAAAACAACCTGCATAGGCTCATGATGTCTGCACTACTGTCCTATAGTGACCTGCCACATGAGGGGACACGCACACAAACACACACAACACACACACACACACACACACCTTCATCATCGTCATTAACCTGAGAACGCGCGGACCACGTTTCCTTCCATAGACACTGCGCGGACATCGCTGTCCTCCCGTGAGCCGCGTGTGGATCGTGTTTTCTCGCGTACGCGGCGTAAACCGCGCTTCCTCCTGTGAGCCTCTAAACCAGAACTAACACCAAGACTAAAACCAGGTCTAAACCAGGTCTAAACCAGGACTAAACCAGAACTAAAACCAGGTCTAAACCAGGTCTAAACCAGGTCTAAACCAGGTCTAAACCAGGACTAAACCAGGTCTAAACCAGGTCTAAACCAGGACTAAACCAGGACTAACACCAGGACTAAACCAGGTCTAAACCAGGACTAAACCAGAACTAACACCAGGACTAAAACCAGGATTAATCCATTCCAGGACTAAACTAGGACTAAAGCAGGTCTAAACCAGGTCTAAACCAGGACTAAAACCAGTGATCTCATATATATTTTTCTATCAATAATA